AGGATCATAGGAGGTTGATGGATCAAAATTTATCAAAATTCAAATTTAAAAGATTTTGAGGTGGTAAGCAATGTTCCATTTTGGAAGCAAAATGGGTGGTCACAAGTTCCTTAAATTTGGAAAGGCTTACATCACTCATTTTACAGTGTATTGGTAGAGAATTCCATAGTTTGAAAGATCTAGGCAGAAATGAGTTAAGGTAATAGTCCTGTTTGAAGAGATTAAGTTCTTGGAAATTGTTTTCGTAGTAGTTTCTTAAACAAAATTAGGTACAGGCTGTATATGTTGCTTAAGACTGGAGTTTATTTTGTCGTGCTTTAGCTTATGCTGAAGAATAAGGTCAGTTGTCTGTCGTCTATATTCAAGAAGTAGGATGTCCAGTATAAATAATCTGTCAGTATAAGTCATATCGTTCGGATAGTTCAATATAAACTTTGTAGCCCTTCGCTGTACATTTTCAATTAGGCGTTGGAGTTTTTTTTAGTATATGGTGATCCAAGACTTGAAGCATATTCGAGCTGAGGTCTCACGATAGATAAATAAAGATGTTTACGAATTCTTGCATCCGGAATTTCTCTACCACATACACGCTTTATCAAACCAAGACACTTGTATGCTTTGGAACACATTTCCTCAACATGCTTTTCCCAGGTGAGGTCTGATGATATAATAACGCCAAGTTATTTTGTATAGGGCGCGTTAGGTAGATCTTCATCGCCGATTTTGTATTGATTTACAGCCTTAATTCCTTTCTTGTGCATATGTAAAACTTCACATTTGTCAACATTGAATTTCATTTTAGAATCGATACTCTAGCTATAAACATGGTCAATATCCCTTTACAAATCGTTGTGATCTGAATCCGATTTGATGACTTTGTATAGTTTTGAGTCATCAGCAAATAAGGCAAGTTTAGAATCACCTAGAATATAATCAGGCATATCATTAACGTACACAAGAAAAAGAAGAGGTCCAAGTATGAAAGTCATCACGTTTGTTGACAATACTCCTTGCGTTGGGGTACAGACAATTTATTTTCCTTGAAGAATCAGCATCAGGACCAGGATTCACTTCAATGTCATGCATGAGTTTAATCGCAGGATGGAAATGTGCCATACTGTTACTATAATAGTTGATAGGAGCTTTAGTTTTGGGACAAAATTGTGCGCTTTTTGCCAGAGCATTTATTTTGACTCAATAAATATACAAAAATTATTGTTTGGCGATTGCGTGACTAAAGACTTCTCGAAATAAAATCCCTGGAAACTGTCGAATGATGCTGATAGATGGTATTTTCGGAAATCGGTTGTAACTGAACAAGCCAGCGTTTGTCAATTCTAATTTCTTGATAACTCAAATGAGTGGAGCATCGGAAAAAACCTTTTCGTGTTGAAGTTAGTATCTCAATGCTTTCTCTTATTTGTATAGACTAGATTTGAAAAGCAATGATGTTTCAAGGGAATATAATTCGAGAAGTCTTTTCGTATTTCATCATACACTAAAATCCAATAGTAGAGAAAATTCGAAAATTTGAGCCTTCCTGCCGTATGTTACTTTTTTCAAACAGTCGCTCTCAACCACCAAAAATATTTTAAAGGTGGAAATGTGTATTAATAATTATTGTGCAAGGAAATGATCTGTTAAAAAATATCTTGCAACTTGTAGTTAAAAATAATATCTATCCCCCTCCCCCCTTCATAAAAAATCAAATGGTCTGCTTCCCTAAGCTGATGGAAGCATTTCGTGGTACGAGGGAGTTGCCTTTCTATCATGTATTAGTTGCTTTCATTAAAACTGATCTGTGATCATTATGATTGGCTTTATTGTTATTGTATATAAATAAAAGTTATTTATTTGTTATCGTTTCCATTCTCCAGGTGTCTATTTCACCTCATTGCCCCCAGAAATGCCACCAGACAAGTTAGCTCTTAATAACTTTACGAACCGAGGCAATCAAATATATGGCACAGGTCTCTATAAGAAAATCCATTATGTCGTAAGGATTAATTTTGATAGTCATGAAGTCAAAAAGATAAATGTTCCCCAGAGAGACGTTTACCTATACGAAGGTAGTATTGATTTGACACAATACGAAGGGCGATACAAAATTTACGAGAATCAAAAAATGTCCGATGAGGTACTAGAAACTACGGAATTACTCTAGAAATAACAGATTAAAAATAATTGCAACACCCACAGTATGATGCATGTCGAATAAAGAAAAACCTACTAAATCCTGGTTTATACTAGCGTGGAAACCGGAATCGACGCAGTAAGGAACATAGGCATAATAGGTAGTGTACTGCTTATTCGCATCATTTGTCTTAATTTCACAAGTAGTGATTAATTATGGTAATATAAACTAAATGGAGTACAATTTGAAAAATGTGCTGGATGGCAAAAGCTCACCAGCGAACAATTTTTCAATACAAATCCTTGTAGAATATTTGATTTTATATTTCATGTTATTTTTTCTATAGTCAATATTTCGAGCTAAAACTTCGCCCTCTTACTATAGTTGAGGTGCTAGTTTTATTTCTGGAGTTCATTTTGACTCATTTGTGCTCGTTTTAAGGGAGATGGGGTCACGTGAATTGTTAGTGCAAGTCGTCTATCTACACATCAAACGCCACCCTAATTCCAGATGGACACTCCTGGTTATGGACTTCTGGTGGAAGTTCACCCCTTTTCAGTAAAATCGCGCGAACAGCGTAAACAAGGAAAGCTGTCAAAAACAATTCCTATATTACTGAAAAATAAAGTGATCGTTCCCCAAAATCTAGAAAATAACCAATTCACTAGTTAGCATTTGAAATTTGTGTTAAAAATCAGAAATATAATATGTTGTTGGGCTACAAGTTTGGACTTGTGAAGCCTTTGCGTTATGTGAAATCCCATTCCAATTAAACAAAATATGTAATTTCGATTTGATCCCATCAGAATGTTAGTAGTATAGTATGCGCAGTACGGGCCCATTTTTGGACGGGGAAGGGCACGGGGAAGGACGGGGAAGGACGGGGAAGGACGGGGACATTAGTTATTCATCAAATATTATCATAAAACGACGGAAAGAGTATTGTTTCGGGTTACCATGACCACCAATTGACGTCATAAGACTATTGTTGACCGGTATGAACCAGTCTTTGTTTCGGAAATGGTGGGTCAGTAAAGCGCACATCCATTGTTTATTAAATCATTACCATAATAGGTATTGTTAGGCAAGTTTGGACAAGTCTTTTGTTTACCAATCCAATTTATAGAGCGCGGGGATTTTGAATTTTTACTTTACCCTTAAAAAATGTCGCAAGCAAGAACCTCAGTTGTACTGCAAGATGACAAGCAAACAAGCCAATGAAGACGATAGTCACGAAAAGAAACAACTATATTCTTTTATAACCAACATTTGTCACTTGGTGTACGCGGATCTGTGAGTAAAACCTCCCATTAAAGAGAGAGAAATACAATGCAATTGCTGGCAAATGAACCAATCAAGTAGCAGACGACAGTACGAGCGTACTGAAGATGAACCGTGGAAGTTGTTTTACGATGAAGCCAAATATTTTGTGGATACGAAAGAAGTATGGTGTAATGTCTCCGATGTGTGTCGTTTAATTGACATTTATCTCCATCCCTCCTGGAGAACGTATATTAGTCAACTTTACGAGCTTCCATGGACTGCGATGCATCTCTTACATTATCAATACCAAACCAATTTCTTGTTTTACGATGAGTCCGGACACGGGGCAGATGCTGACTTGAAAAGTATGAAAACAGGTCCTTGATGTGTGTTATATACTGAACATTTCTCTTTATCGCACCAGGACAGCGTATCTAAAAGAATTTTGAATAAACCTAATCATGGTATCTATCTTGGATACTAGAGTTTCCTTGTGAGAAACGAAGGGACGAATGCTTTTCTGAGGTCTTAGTAAATGCCTTTTCCTTCAAAGTGTGTATCTATGTTTATTCACAATGATTTACGACAGCAACAAAAAACTCTTAAAAGTTGTGTAAAACAGCCTATTGTTAAAGACTCTTAAGATTTTATTTTATATCATCCAAAAATGTAAACTCTGTTCTCTCGCTCGACAGGCGAGTCTATTAACCACTATACTAACATGAATTTGATGTTCTATTTTCTATCAAAATTTATAGTTTTATCTCACGAGTCGGGATTGAACCGACGACCTACAGATAACTGTTTTTACACTACAGTCTGCCGCTCTACCAACTGAGCTACCGTGAGATCTATGATATACACTATACTAAAACTTTAGTTACCCTATTCAAATTTTAATGCACAATTCGTTAAGGTATCAGTCTATTCATTTCATTATTCACAAAGCTCCTTCACTAGCTAAAGTCTCTTGAACAAAATTCCTTATTGTTGGTTCGTTTGACACATTAACCCATTTCGCACCACCATTGGAGCGATGTCTAAGTTTCACCGGCCAGTAATTTTCTCCTCCAATGCTTACACCTGGTTGATCGGGCAGGTAGGGGTTACGGGATGTCTTGTACATTTCCACTACGGAGTATCCCTGTGGAATAGACCTGACAGCCTCGACGTTACTGGTAAGATTCTGCTACACGGAAATGACTGCATCGGACCAGAATATGGAAGGGGAATAATTGTTTCTTTGACATCTAGGGGGATCATTCACTTGAGATTCTAAGTACTTTATTCGTCTTGTTGATAGTGGAGTACACGTGACATTTTCCAAAGACATCCCCAATCACCTACTTATCCCCCGGACTATCAGGTTTGTTATCCACCAGCAAATATCCAAATGCTTTCTCCGTTTCTCTATAGAAGGCGGCTATGAACCGATCTCGGTTCTTATCAAACATGCCTTCTGCAACAATACCAATTTGCTTTCGATCATTAGGGCTGCGGATTAATAACCAGCCACGCCCCAATTCTATTGTTTTATGTAGGTTTTGAAACCCAGAGTAAGACCTACATTTTTAAAGCCGGGGGCGGCTTTGATTATCAGCAGGGGAGAGCGGGGCTGAATTCAAAACCCGGGCCAGGTTTTGAATTTGAAATTCAAGACCTGTCCCGGGTTTTGAATTCAGTTCCGCTGTTATCGCGAAACTGGAAAAAAAAAAAAGAAAAAAGAAAAAGAAAACAATAACAATATGCAAATAGTTTTAATCAACTTAAACAACAAAAAATAACTTGGTAATTAACAACACTTCATCAAGGTTTCTTAATTTTGTAGTCTTGCACTCTGATCAGAAAAAATTTATGTTAATATCGAACTTCCCTTAGATCTCATCCAAACGTCTCAGCTTCAGCTCATCTGATTGAGACTTCAGAACTTCTTGCTTCTGATCTTCCATCTTGGCCTTCTTTGTTTTCTCCTCCGCACAGCCATACAAGATATGGGACACCATTACTTCTTGATTCGTAGAAGTGCTTTTGTATGCTCGTACGGCACTACTACGATGACCTAAATCAAATCAAATTTCAAACTTAGCAAACGTTCATTTCGTTAGCTAACATGCACATAAATAACATCACAAAACTTTAAAATGCATCTTAGTGGAAAAAAGTTTCATTTCTCGCTCATTCCATTCCATTGTTTTCGTTTTTATATTTATGGCTATTACGCTTCGAATAATACGATTTGTTTGACGGCTTCATAAAATCTCGAAGGGCTTGATGTAGCTCTTTCTAGTACAAACAAATGAAACTAATATCTAAGAAACACGTTGGAATGCAACAGGTATTGCCCAACTTGCCTGTCTTTTCGCAAATTAGCTGTTCATCAACAYCAACATCAAACATACGGGTCGCAGCCGTGGCACGTAAGGAATGATTTGTTCGGTATCCTGACAAACCACTGGCATCACACAGTCGCTTCACAGTCGACGTCAGTTTGTTGTGYCCTACCGGCACCGAACTATACCAACAGTCAGGTTTTCGGTGTTTTAGAGGAGTCAAGTACAGCGCATCGCTTTCACCAGTTTTATGTTCGGGGCTTCAAATAAACAAAATACCAATAAAAATCAAACAATCAATCTAGATATGCACTTCGTAGTATAATTAAACGAGATAAATCATTGTTAACAAAATGTTAAGCATATGCATTTTCTTACCACAATCTCAGATATTTCTCGTATTTTTCCCATACCACACATCTTTCTGGATTTCTCTTGTTTTCGTACGCTCGAGTAACTTTGTCCTTCACCTTACGATCTTTTAATCCGCCTGCATTCGTTTTTGATATGTCCTCATGGTATTCAAGAAACTTCAAGCCACTTTTTCTGTCATAACCAGTGGCTATCTGGGAATTTGTTCTTCTAAGTCGTCTGTGTTCCCGACCGCCTCGAAGAGCAAAATGAATGCCCAATAAGTAAACGATGGTGTCGAGCAGTTGTTGGGGTTCTGAGTGACCTAAAATGCCTTCACTCCAAAGTTTTTCTTCTTCCTCTAACGTAATAATTTTCGCTTGCTTCTTCGAGTTTCCTAACCCTTCAGAGGCAGATTCCTTCATGGCAGCATCTAAACTTGACCTGAGTTGTGAMAATTCGGTATCATTAAAGAAACTCACAACATGCCCTTCTTGTTTCATATGGTGTTGTATAGCAGCTATAATACCGTGGAGCGTATTTGGAGGATATTTAYTACCATTAGCTTTTCTTGCTTCCATTATGAATAACGAAAGGTTCTTATTCAATTCTTGAATCGACATATTTTCCAAGGGTTTAGATATCACTCCCAGGTTGGCTGTATCATTACAGCCCTCAGAGTTACCAAGTCGCATATTTCGCTCGTTACGCCATTCTTCGAACATTTTAATGGCCCATGCATCTTTACACAAACTGGACTTCGGAACAGACTGCTTAACTTTAGCTAGAACTTCGCTTTCATTCAACGGTTCACCAAACCTGAAGTTTTCTTTTGCTATAGCCTCCCCCTCCGCTTCATTCTGTTCAACAACGCCACCTAGCAGTTTTTCTATATCATTCACTTCAAAGATTGGTAATTCTTGGCTCGAAGAAGGTTGTGGACGTCCACGGCAAACTGAATTATTTCTCGTGATTTTCAAAATCGTCGTTACAAGATTGCATAACCATGTTCGTGCATCCAAAAATCTTAGATGTAATTTTCTCACAACTTTTAAACATTCCATGTTGGTCATTAACAAGCTATTCAAAAGCTCACAAACATCGAGATCATTGACATCGAATGGCCACGCTCTCACAAATCCAAAAACTGATAATTACAAATTGTCTTCCATTAAAACAATAGAATTGGGGCGTGGCTGGTTATTAAACCAGTTCAAAACTACGGGCTCGGACTTTCATTGAAATTCAAGACCTCGGGCTGCGCCCTCGGTCTTGAATTTCAATGAAAGCCATCGCCCTATGTTTTGAACCTTTATATAGAGTGATGTATTGAGCATTACGGCTATTATCCGTGTCGTATTTGCCTTTGGGAAACATGTTCAGCAGAAGAAGTATGATGCTGGCATTTCTATGACGACCTTGTGTAAATAACCGAGAAACCATGTGGCTGTCATTGGCTTCAGTCATTAAATCATCCAGAATAATGATGTTGTATATACAGATTGTTTGTTTGAGAAAAAACGAACTATTGCAAATATGAAACAATTACGTAGTTATAGACATCAATTGTATACAATTAATATAAACAAAATAGGATTATCACCTTATGATGACAAACGCCATATACTAGGAGATGGCGTGACCGCCTTAGCCTACGGTCACAAACAAATAACTTTAACTTAGTTGGATTACAACTGGTATATATAGTATTAAGTTTGTAAACAATACCTGTATGTTATTTCATCCATATATTGAAAAATAAAACAATTTAAACTATGGATGAAGTGTGGTTATTTTCTGTGATCAAAGAACCATTGCATGAAAGCAATGGTGTGCATAATCATAAATTTTTAAATTTATTAGTGGCCGTCGTGGCCCACTCTTGAGATCTTAGGATATGCTATATAAGTTACAAAAAATGTCGCGCTCATCGTTCTGTCCCGGTTTGGGCCTTTTTGTCCTGGCTTTGGCCTTCTTGTCCTTTATAAAAGTTAAAACATTTTGAGAAAACTATCATTCGCAACAAATGTTCAAGCTGTGAAGATGGTAAACCGAGTGTGTCGGGATTGTCCTGTTCCTGGTTGTGGAGCGACGTATCTTGTAAAGTTATCAAAGCATCTCGCGGATGTGCATTTACTGGATCATAAAGAAAGAAGAAAGCATTTACAAGAAGCCAAACTTCAACCCAAACTCAAAGTGATTTTTTATCAAGACGACGTTTCCAAATCGAAATCTTCAAGTTCTGTAAATGTTCCAGCACCGACTGAAAGACCGGATATATTTTATGAAATCTTATCACCAAGAAAGAAGAAGAGAATGCAGTTGGCGAAAACGCAACAAAGGAAAGTTAACAAGACCAAGAAGAAAATCAAGAGCAGATAGAAAGGAAAGATTTATTGGTCGTGAGAAGAACAAATCCGGCCAACCAGACTTTACCACCGTGAAATATCACTTTTCACTACCTAAAAGCTTTTCAACGAAGACGATGACCTGTAGTTAATCTGTTTAAGCCAAGGATGACTATCCTTTCGCAAATCTATAAATTACATGGTGTGGCTACCATAGGTATATTATGACGTAATGGTAAGGTACGTCACGTGATAAGCACATGGCATGTGAGAAAAGGGTAGCGGTCAAGCACATGGAGTGCGAGAAAGCTTGTTGTTTTCTATGTTTATTGGTAGCTAGAATTCCCAAATAGTTCGGTAGGTTTATATCGTTGGTAATTTATAGCATCTGTAAGCAACTGATTTAGGAACTTTATCATTTATGTAGAAAATCGCCATGTGGTTCGTTGATCGTATAAGGTTATGCAATAAAGTTTGGTAAGATGAACAAGCAGGCGCGTTTCGTCTAATGATTTCCGGAGCTACCACCCGCTCCTGGGGTCAGGAGTAACACATGGTTGCCCTCATATTTTCATAATGTAGACTGACTCAATAATTTATAAAAAGAAACAAAAAAAATTGATGGATATCGTTACGAAATAATTACGTTGAAAAGACACCGAGTTGGTTTTGATCGACCAGCCTTGTTAGAAAAAAAAAAGTTTCAATCCTAGATCAAGAAGGGGTTTGATAATATGGATGATTGAACTGCTTTCCTTATCTAAACAATTTTGTTTGTGGAACTGCTTTTGTTAGTTCGGTTTTCTTTATAAAAGCACCATGTAAAAACAACGGTTTAATAACAAGATCTATTCTTACTTGGATTATAAGAAAAAGAACAAACGTTATTGGTGAGCAATGTATCTAACCAACAGCAACATGTTGTCAAGATTCAATATGTAAATCTGGTGATTGGTTTTCTTTATCAAACTATTTCTTTTGCTCAAAACCACAAGTGTTGATATTGAGTTGTACATTGAGTTTTTTTTTGTAGTGTTTAGAAAACGAGTAGGAGTGTTTTATCAGGTATAAAAGCACGAGGCGTAGCCGATAAAACACGATCTGCGAGTTTTTTGAACTTCTTAAAACACTCATGAACAATTTATAAGATTTTGGTTCAACTGGAACCACCATACACGTCACGAACATGGATTTTTATACTTCGATAGAGATTTGACGTCACGGGCATGCGCAACCAGATTCAATAGAAGCTCCCACACGTTGGATATTGCGTCCCAAGGCAAAGACAGGCACGTTAGTCAAAGATCATTAGGGTTGACTATGACCTTGATGAAGCTCTATGTCTTCATCTAAACTTGGATGCATACTTCATCCCTGATGAAGTCATCCTCATAGTATTCGAGTGGTCTTTATATAAAGATCACGTGTCTTTATATAAAGACACATGTGTCTTTATATAAAATCACTTGATACTAATGAAGAGGACTTTATCGGGTATAAAGGTTCATGCACGTGACGTGTATGGTGGCTCCAATTGGACCATAAGCTTATGGATTATTAATGAGTGTTTTAAATGTTAATAAAAGTTTATAGGAAAAAAATCTGCGTTTCTTAAATCATACTCAGTCTTTATAGATCTGTTACAATATTTGGCAATTACAATATTTGGGACATAATTATTTTGTTAAATTGACCAATCCTTATTCTCTTCGGCGCTAGAAGCGTGACAATTTGATAAAACTTAGACAGTTTTTATAATTTGACTTAGATTGTCCTTCCCTTCATATTTTGTGTTCAAGCTAAGACACTTCAATAACAGAAAATAAATAGTCTATCGAGTATCAACATCGAAACTAACTACCACTAAAAACTAACTATAAGGAGTGTAAAAACTCAGTCTTCGGACGGTTTCGGACCCGTTTTGAGAATAGCATGAAAAAACTATTTATAATGATACAAAAAAACTATAACTGTTTTTTAGAAAAAAAAACTTTATCTGTTTTTTGTATTTTACAAATATGTTTTTATCGATAAATAAGTAATTTGTACATATATTTGTTATTTTATATTCATAATCTC